TTTAGGCGTCACCGGCTAGTGATACCCAATCCCAGTGTGGCCAGTATTGTCAACTAGACGCACTACCCTCACTTGTTGTGGCTGTAACTTTGCTTGGTCCTCTGCCAACTGGGCTGCTGGGGAGGACGGACATTCGGTCAGGTGATTCATATCTCATGCATATTGCTTAGAAGATTTGTTAGAGTGCTAAAACACCAGACGTAGACAATTGTTTCACGCTCATTATTTATCATCAGTACGTCATGGGCCTGTCTTGTGCCTTCTGACATGTGTTCACCAATCAGGTCACAGATTATTCTCGCCTCATTGTGCCTTGGATGTCGCATCGGACCCCCTGCAAGGTGTCGCAAGATGCCAAAGCTACTTCGAACACGGGCCTGCTGGTGTAGCCATTAAATATCATCCACGCGCTGTTGAAGTTCTAACCGACAAAAATAGCCTTTCTTTTAGCTCAGGAAAGCGCACGACGGCGCGGTCAGCGTTGCACGTTGACATACTACTTAATTAATCACATAGTTTTTGGTATATCGTTCACATGTCAGTTAGCATGCAGTACAGATACATATAAAAATAATAAGTGAGGAGTTCCTTTATGGAAACGGAAAAAGGACTATCGCAGTGGCTTAAATTTATACGGAAGCACCTTGCCGTTGCGACTTTCAGGTCCGGTTCCGTGTGGGAAGCGATAAAGTGGGATGCCAGGTGGAAGGCATAGTTTATTTTGTACATAAGTAGTAGAGAATTAGATAAAGAAAGTTGACAGTTGGACGAGTTCATGATCACCCTGCGACAGCGTCGCCCGGAATGTAAGAGCGCGGCGGCCATCACAGTGGGGTCTTGTGTGAGCCAGCCTTGAAGGTGAGAACACTTAAGCGTTGCATGCGGAGTAAAGTCAAAGTGGCTTTGCGAACGATTCCAAGAGGGACGAATATTTCCATGCCCTATTTATAACACAATACCTAACATAAACCCAATCCACAGCCTTAATCTTAACCTTAAATTTATTCTAAACGCGTACCATAACCTTAAACACTAACCTAAATTTCCCTTGAATTTGGCGTAAAGCCGCCTGTACTATGGGGAAGGGGGGAGTGTTCCCGTTCTTATGTCCTATTTAGGGAGGCCATACGAATAATTCTTATCAAATGGAATTCAAAAACTACCGTAATACGCCGTCCATATGTAAGCCGTCAGAATTGTAAACCGTCGGAGTTCCCAATCCACTATTTAGGTCATAAAGCCTTCAACGCAGTATATCTGAAACTTTTGAACGATCCCAATAGCTGATTGCTTGCTTCTTTGTGTTTCACCTTCTCTTTGCTTTTCTCGCAGGTTGTAGCGAGGGCAAATACGGCCAAAACTGTGAGTCAATCTGCACCTGCGTGCACGGAAGGTGTGACCATCGCTCTGGTGTGTGCGAATGCGACACAGGCTGGTACAACATGAACTGCGATACACCCTGTCCTCCTGGTTACTATGGCGACGACTGTCAGGTGGCCTGCAATTGCCAGAACGGAGCCGAGTGTAACCATGTCACTGGAGCCTGCACCTGCGCAGATGGTAAGCGATCCTTCGCCCTGTTTGATATTGATAGGTCAGGCTGGAGATGTCCCCCCCGGGGAGGGGGGTTGCTGTTAAACACAGAAAGTGCGCTGTTTACTGCTGGCGCTTTAGATAGTACACTGAGTCGCTTAACTTTATAATTCTTCATCTCGATATAAAAAGACTTAGGTGCATGGTGAGGTTGATAGGTGTGTGTTGTAGCCCTTGTTGGATCGAAAGTCCCCACCGGAATGCAAACTGGTTGTAGTTGGAAGACGGCGAAAAGCCGCGACCTTAATTGGCTTGATCCAAAGGTCCACGGGGATGAGTTGGATGCTTGGCTGGGAACTGCAGGCGAAAAGACGTTGACAGTCATGTGAAGAGATGCCGCAATTGGGATACTGTTCGGATGTGGACGGGTAAAGTCGATGTTATTACTGGTGAAGGAGCATGAAGTAATTACCACGTAGTGGAGCCAAGGTACAACGAGCGGCCCTCGAGAGTTGTCGTTCCGAGGCCGCAATCGGAAGTGGATAGCCGCCTAAAAGGTCAGTGGGCTGGTAGCTGAGTTTTGCGTCGACAACAGCTTTCTGGTGAAGACGCTGGAAGCCTTTCATGATGGCAAGGCCATCAACAGGTAGATCTGAGAGATGTAAGACGATAGCTTTCTTGTG